TGTGTGTATGTGTGTGTGTGTTTGTGTGTGTGTGTTTGTGTGTGTTTGTGTGTGTGTGTGTGTGTGTGTTTGTTTGTTATGGGTTTTTTTTCTTTTTTGGTAGGTGTGCCAGTTTTTTGCATTAAACACACAGCCACGCCCACTCAGATATTTTTAATTATCACTAGGAAGTAATAAACATAACCCCACCTTACAATGCAGACTCTGAAAGACGTTTAGCCTTGCAAGGGCTGCTCTTACCAATTATTTATTAAGCTAGACTTCTACGTTTTTAATGTGAGTGTTTCACGCCCACCCATGTAGACACGATTTCGGCTCGATCAACACAGTCTATCGGGACGTACCAGGATGAATGAGAGACAGCATTCATAAAACGATGGACACTCTTTATAAATACTAATTAGCAAAAGAAACACGAATCACTATTTTTGTCAAAACTAAATAACCATTAATGGTAGAAGACTGACATTTACACCAACGATAGTATGCTAAATATATATGCCCTCTGGAACTCATAAGTCGTCTGTCTTGCTTTTTTACCCCAAACGAGAGTTACTACCCCTTAATTGAAGCATGGAAAAAGCCACGTGGTGCGGTCGAAACACGTCTAAATGAGTGAATCCAGGGTGAAAATAAAGAGAGAAAAAAAAAGAATAAAGTGATAAGACATTGGCTGAACCCCTTCACTGTTCGGTCCGAGATTGTCTCATGCTCTTTGTCAGGATTATGGAGACAATATAGTCGTGTTGGAGGGGTTGACATAAAAGCAAAAACAAAAACAACTGAACAGTACAAAAAAAATCAAAAACGTCTAACAACAACAACAACAACAACAGCAACAACAACAACGACAACAAAAACAACAACAATAACAACAACAACAACAACAACAACAACAACAACAACAACAAACAACAACAACAACATAAGTATCATTTTCCAGATAAAAGATCTGTCACAAAGGCGCCAGAATGACTGTTGCCAGCCTCTTCAGTTCTGTCAGTTAAACAAGGACCAAAGTATGTTTAATTATCAGTGTATACACCTCTTCACGGCGCTTGGACAAAGACTTGGACATCTTGAAGAGGCGATGACAGCCTAGGAAAGATCTGGAAGCAGCGTGCTTTGAATTGGTCACGAACATTTCGTTAAAACGTGATAAGAATGCATACTAAACAGCGAGTCAGAACCTAAAGGCTCTGTTCAGAAGTCAAAGGAGTAAGCTGGACGATTTCTTTGTCTGGTAGACTTTGGTAAGCGATTTGTGTTTTGATGAGAGTGTTGATAATAATAGGCCTAATAATAATGAGAGTAATAATAATAATAATAGTAATAATAATAATAGTAATAATTATAATAATAATAATGAAAAATGATAACAAAATCGCAACAACAACAA